GGACGCGGGCGCGCGGGGAGTCTGCGCCTCCGCGTTTTGCGCGCAGCCCCGGGAGGGGAGGCGGCGGCCTGAGCCCGGCCCGCCCGATTTGGGGAGCGGAGGAGGACGCTGGGAGGGGCGGGCCGCTCTCCGCCGCCTTTTTCTTTTCCTCCTTTCCCTCCCTCTCCTCCCCGCCCTCCGCTCGCTCTCCTCCCTCTCGTCCTCCTCCTCTTTTTCTTCCGCTTCTCGGGCTCTGCCCGCTGCTCTCCCCGCTGCCTCCTCCCACTCCCCTGCTCATCCTCCCCCTCCGGGCGCCCGCCTCCCGGCCGCCCTCGCTCCGGAGAGCAGCCCCGCGCCGCCTCTCGGTCCGACCTGCTCCGAAGCTCGCCCTTCCCCACCTTCCAGGACCCGCCGGTGCTCCCGGCCGCGATGCTCAGGTTTTGTGTCCCTCCAGCTGGCCGTGCCCTGAACTGCCCGAACCCTCAGCCCGCGCCCAGCGCTGCTCACACAGGACAGGAGCAAGGGAGTGTTTGTAAATCATCGCTCACGGACCCTACCACCTGCCTCTGCGGGGCTGTCTTCACTTGCATCTTGTGTAGGACTCTAGTGTGCACGTGGGGTGGCTAAAGGACCTGTCCTCGTTATTTATCCCGTTACTCGCTGGCTACTAGAGTGACGACGTTGATTGTCAGCCTTTCTTGATTTTACAAGTCCAGAGCCTTAATTTAGAAATCATTTTGCATCCCAAACTAATTACCGCAATACTGGCAGGTGCAGAGTCCAGCCAGAACACTTGTACTACTGAGTAAAACTGCTTGTGAAAGGGTAGCTGTTACGCACCTGCAAAGACGCACGCGGGGATGTACCAGCTAATCATTTGCTGAATATTTATTAGTTCTGCCTCCAGGACGCTGAAATACGTAAGGGAAACAACCATCCCCCAGCATTTCACTATTGTTTTACCTCATTGCCGGATTCACTAAGTTCACAAAACAACTACAGTGAGCTGAAGAACGTCAAGAAAAAGAACACGTTGTTTAATCCTTCAAGAAGTTTAGGGGGGAGAAGAAAAGGAAAAAATCTTGGAGGTTACATGTCCTCTTAGAGCGTACCACAAAGATCGCATAGGCTACCATGTTTTAAGATTGCCTAATTGAATGCTTGATTCTAGAAATGTCCTTTATATTTTAGCTAGTGTAAGCTATACTTTGTTGGCCTACTTAGAGTCTCTTGAGCCAATGTTTTTAGTGTTTAAAGAGACTGCACCTGCTTGATACACTGGTCAGAAATTTCACCAGTGGTGACAGCCCCTCCAGGCCCAGGAGGCAAAAAAGGCAGAGGCAAGGGAAGAAATGAGAAGCAGGCATGTCGGGAAAATAGATCAAATTTTTCACAAAACACTGAAAGCATCCTTCCCAAGCCATGGTTGTTTATTATTCAATGATCATAAAGTCAATAGAGCACAGTAGAATGAAGCCTTCTTTCCTCATAACTGTCTTAATTTAAGAGTGGTCCTCACATATGCTATGAAGACAAGACTCTATTTCCCTGAAGCTTTGATGCAATGGTAGAAGAAAAACATGGCAGAATTGGAGGGTGGGGTTGCAGATACTGGAATCCCTGAGCAAAGTAATAGGGAAGATGAGTTAAGAACCAAATGGGCTATGGCAGCAGCCTGGTCATCTCCCAGGTGTGGCGTAGAGTGATCGCAGTGATGGGTAGACCACATGGAGACAATAGGTCTCTTTGCTTTCAGGTTGTGGCTTTGCTTTCTTACCTCAGTTATGACTGTTGTTCTTTGTGGGTATAGAGAGAACCAACTAGAAGTTCGTTGACTGATAACTGGGCTAAACTTCAGCACACAGTTGCCCTCAGCTTAGCACAATTGTGGGGGCAAGGGGATGGAGACATACCTGGAGTAGGGTTCCCAAGCAGTGGGAAGGACTGATGGCAATGTGGGCCACAGTTTGCCCCTACAGCTACCAGAGAAGTCTCCTCGGTAGCCCTGAAGGAGAGGGGCTTATGGAAAGGAGGAGAGGGAGTGGTCGATTAGTCCTGGCATTAATAATTAGAGTCAGCTGTTTCATGGAGAAAGTGCAGGAAAGAACAGGGAACGGTAGACTAGATATAGTTAGTCAGAACCCTCATCTGGGAACCCTGCCCTTGCAAAATAAGCTTCAGACTCTTTGGAGAGGTGTTGCTTAGACCAGCAGGACCCAGAGGCTGGGATCAAAGTCAGGCCACGGAAGTGGTGATTCCAAACCAGAGTGCTTTCCTTAAAACCAACAACCTTTATGATACAACCTAAAACTTGTTGCTCTATGCGGATCACTAGTCTGTTTTCAAACGGATCAGGCAATTTTCAAATTCAGCAATACAAATTGCTCACAGTATAAAAAGCTTGATTCTGAGATTTTAGTAGCCGAGATAATTTAAATTAAATAAATAAATTAAATAATTTAAATTAAATTTTGCTCTATACACTTAATCCAAGGTTTAGGAGAGCTGAGACAACTGGTGGAATATATAATTACTTAGGCAGTGTTTAGAGTTGGGGTGAACGGCCGGTCTCATGAAACGGGTAGAGGCAAGGTCTAGCTCGGGAGAGGCTGTTGCTGGTTAAGTTAGGGAGACAGAAAATATTTCCTAGGGGTTGGTGGGTCAGAAGCCCCAGTCAGAGGTTAATTCCAGGGCTGATGGGTATGGTTCTACAAGGGGAAGGATAGGGGCACCTCGGTAGCTCAGGGTGTTAAGCATCTGCCTTTGGCTCAGGTCATGGAGGACCCTCCCCCTGCTCGGGCTCACTGTCTCTCAATCTGCACTCTCTCTGTCAAATACATAAAGTCTTTTAAGAGGTGGGGTAGGATGGAGGAGGAGTTACCGTTCACTGTGTCCGCTCTTGTACTTCAGAAAATTTCTTCCTAGTTTAAGAAAAAAAGGTAACTTTGGAAAGGCCTGGAAACAAAACAACACAGATTTCTAATAAGATAAATTGTATTAAAAGAAGTCCATCGTTTGCTCATAAGTAGAAGAAGCAGGATATAAAACGGTATTCAAAGTAAGATTCCATTTTTTATTTTTTAAAGATTTTATTATTTATTTATTTATTTATTTGAGAGAAAGAGAAAGATTTGGGGGTGGGGGAGGGGAGCAGAGGGAGAAGGAGAGAATACTAAGCAGACCCTGCACCAAGCACAGAGCCTGAAGCAGGGCTCGACCTCACAACCCTGCTCTCATGACCTGAGCCGAAATCCAGAATCAGACACTCAACAGACTGAGCCACACAGGTGCCCCAAGATACCATTTTTTTTTAATGTCTGTACGCTTACATCTACATGAATATAAATATGCTTATGAGTTCATACACACACACACATATATATAAAGGCACATACAGCAAAATGTTCATCTAAGTGACTTTCTCTGGATGGTGGGAATATAGATACTTTTTTGCACTGGAAGAGAAGCCTTTGGCCTACGACTCACAGTTTGAAAGGACATTACGAGCCATAATTTGTTCATGTTTTCCTCTAATCACAAAAGAGGCATTTATTATTTTAAACACACGATGTTTGATTGCCAAAATTTTGTTGTTGTTGCATGGAGTAGAAACCATACCAATTTGAATGTCAAATATCTGAGAAAGTCTGTTTTATTAAACCATGGACCCTCGCCTCTTCCTTAGCCCTAATCCACAATGGGGGTCTATCCTGAGTGGGCTCCCTAAGGAAGCTTCTTGGTGTCCCGTGTTTGACCTCCCTGCCTTAAAGTGTTTTTCCTCCACTTTCTTCTGGTTTTCTATAGTAACTGTGGCACAAATGAGATGTGGGTTCAAATATTAGTTCCAGCACTTAACTGGTCTGTGCAACTTGAACAAATTAACTTCTCCAAGTCTCTATTTCCCCTTCTAAAACTGGAGATATTCTTAACCTAGGATTTTCTTGAGCATCTAATCAGGTAATGAGTATAAGTGTTTAATCAATCCTAAAGTTTCATACAAATGCAGGGTAGGATGGTCCTTCTTAGCTCTACCAAGTCTGCACATTAGAGAAAGAGAGCTGAGAGCTCCCCTCTCTGAAGCTAGTTCTTCCTCCAAAACTGACAAATGTGTTTCCTTCCACTCCCAGTGACTATGGGATGATTCATGGAAGGAAGTATAATGTGTATTAGAGTTAACATTGCAAACATACACTATCGCCCCCCACCCCCACCTTCAAATTGTTTTCCGGTGAAGGTCATAGTGCCTGGATTCTCTGAAAATGCTGGTTGAAAGACAACCCAAGGGGCGCCTGGGTGGCTCAGTGGGTTAAGCCTCTGCCTTCAGCTCAGGTCATGATCTTGGGGTCCTGGGATTGAGCCCTACTTCAGGCTCTCTGCTCAACAGGCAGGGAGTCTGCTTCCCCCCCACCCCCGCCTGCCTCTCTGCCTACTTGTGATCTCTCTCTCTGTCAAATGAATTAAAAAAAAAAAAAAAAAAAGACAACCCAAGCAACTCCCATGACTTCCCATTCACTACTAATCAGAATTGCAGTGGGTACTTAAGAGTTATCTCACTTTCCCACAGCTGGGGAAAAGTTTCTGCTCACCTAAGTGTGAAAGTGAACTCCATGTACCT